TAGGGTCAGACAATATAGCTACATATACTTCCTGGACCTCTAGAATATGGGCTGTAATTAATACAAGATTATCAATCTGATTGGTTTGGGAAATACATATCATCTCGAAATTCGCATAATCCTTGTACGTTAATCCTGTAGAAGAGAATAAAAATAATCGATGGAAAACAAAGTTTGTCGAAATATTACTTTCATGATCATATATTGTTTTACACAATGTGCAGATATTCTCTCTAAACCATGGGAGTGGTTACTAAGAATGTACGTCAAATCATTTTACATTCAACCTTTTGCGATAGTGAATGTCTCCTTCTCGTCATAACTACAACCTTAAATATATCTGGAGATATTGCACCCTGTCTACTTCATAGTTAAACACTAATTTATTTCCAAACCAAATGATTGGCTTAAATATTTACAAAAAATAATTTGAGTTATTCTTTTAAAATAATCCTTTCAATATTTGACAGTTTAGTCAATAAGAACTCTAATTTTAAATTTTAAAAAAACCTCCTGTCTCATCTGTTCTAATCTTTTTTTGAAAAATAAAGACTGAAGTAGGCAAATCTCCAACAACGAATTTTAATGTAAACTTAACAAACTTTAACAACTATAAAGAAGTATTACTAAATTCAAAAATAGATAAACGAAAAGCAATGTCACAAATGAATTGTTCGAGTTAACAGGGTGGAGAACGTGGATTTCGTTCTACACGACTAATCAAATAAAGCTTTTTTCATTTGTTAAGAAGAGAAACAAAGAAATATTTGGGTCGTTGAGACTATATGCTTCCTCTAGATTAATCCATCTCATAGGACATGGATATACAATAACCGATGACTGTATGACTACAGATTACCGTCAGTTTTAAGTCGCACAAACAATAATCACAGTCTCATAAATTCCATTATCAAATTAATTTATAACCAACATTAAAAACTAGTAGTTTTTCAGTTTTTTTATACAATACCCATAAAACGAACTGTGATCAAAGTTGGTTAGTTTTGCACTTCTTTACTACCGAAATGAATAAATTCTTATTAGCAAACATTTCTCATTAGAGGCTGTTTTAGTCAAGATACAGAACTCAAATATTTGAATTCGTTAAAGATTATGTAAGTAACATTTACTCGAGGACCTATTGGTCTCGTATGCAAACGCTTAACCTCGAGACCACCGAGCCGGGATCCAACGGTGTTAATGTCTAACTTCAACTAATCCACGAAAATGAGTGGCACATCCACCATTGTCTTCACTGAGTTACTGTCTCACAAGAGACCCGGTTGAACTCCACTGCTCACTGCCTCTCACTAGAACTTCAGGAAATACCTCATGAAGTTAGTTGCTAGTGAGCGTATGTTGATTGATATCAACAGGGATTTTGTGGATATAATAGTAATTTTAATAGTTGAGATCATGAGTCAATTGAAGCTAGACCACCATGGAAAACCATGGAAAATTAAATACTCCACATCTGGCTTAACTTGTAATAAAGAACATTCTCTGGAATCAAAATAAACATCATTTAATGTGAAGTTAATACTTTAAAAATTAATCCAACTGGATAGAAATGTCAGATTATGAAGTCTTATAACTAAAGGTACTCATCAGTATACGTCGTGGATATTGTTTAAAAAATAGTGATGATTTCTCAATCCGGATATTTAACTCTGAATCATGTAAGACATTTATTTAATTTCATTTAGAAGAAAAGGTTTATTATTACTCTTGTATTACTCAACAATAATTAGTTGATGTTCACTCTGGGTTCGATGGGAAATGCTGGTGGGTGGCCCATGCTTCTCCACGTGGGGTAACAGGCGTAAGTGAGTAAATAAATAAGTAATTACTCAACAAGTGACTTATTATTACGACTGATGATTATTAAAGGTACTTATGTTGAATATTTTTTAACTATATTTGGAAATATTTTCTTAAAACTGAAGATAGAAAGAATCACTTAAAAACCAGTGTTTATGAAGTAAAAATAGGTAGAAAGTGAACGATTAAGTACGTGACCTAATTAATTCTCATGACCGTAAATTCATGTGTAAATTTATTCAGAATTAAGCACTTGCTAAATAAATAATGAGTAATGACGACAAAATCAACTTAATTTTATTCAAAAAATTAATCATAAAAATCTTTTACAAAAGCAATGATTTGAATCAGTTCAACAAATAAGTGTTTAACACTTCAACAAATTATAATTCCTAGGTTTTTTAATAAAAATTAAAAGTAAAAAGCGTACGGAAGATGTGATGTTGAAATTATTGAAAAGTTTAAAACAAACAAAGATACAAGCTTCTTTCCCGGAATCTCCAGAGAAATATGTTTTCAATTACTCAAGTATAACATTATCGACTATTCAGCTACAAGTATTATCTGTTGGTCCTAAATTTTTTAGTACGTCAACGAACATTAATGAACTCAACGCTAAAAGTATAAAGTTTGAGAAAATTTTACTTCAAGATCAAAGTTTTAATACCGATAATGTATACTGAAACGGCTGTTTCATCTTTAATTAAGCTTTCAAATAAAATGTTACCAAACATATCAATTTATGGTTTCAATTACCTTCAACTCATACGAAATCTCTACTAAATCAAATAACTTTTAAGAATGGTCTTGTAATTGTTAGTGATTGCCTCCAAGATTATTTTATTGATGAATTATTGAGAAACTATGAAATCGGTTGAAACAAGAGTATGACAGTTATCCCTTGACGACACAGTCTGATGATCAGGCGCAATTATGAACTGATCAAACATGTGAGATACTCGATGCTGGCTAAGTGGCTGGATGTTACTGTTCATTCTAACAAGTCCGAAGGATTTTAACTTAATTTTTCTGGGTCTTGGTATATCATTTCCAAGGAGTCCTACATTACAACGAAAAACACTGCTAGAGTTCCGCTATTTCCAACGATCTTCTAGGTGGTGTATTTTGAAATGACGAATTAACATATATATGAACAATATTTTGTAAATAGATGGAAGAAACGTATCAGAATATTTCGGAGAGAAACATACTATTAGGTTAAATACATTTTATAACTTTGAATCGTAACGTGGATCATAATTTCATTGGCTTTTTTGAGGTAATGATCAATGAACATTCACATCATGATTTACAGAATCAATTCAACCAATTTTATTCAATTTTCTAGTAAATACACTCTTATGGTAAATGTAAAGATGTTTCATTCATAAAAAACCCATCTGTTTAGTTAAAAATACCTCGGTATCTTCCAATGAAATAATATTTATTATACTATTTAAATATAATAACTAATATTTCACATGAATGAAAATATTACCAGGAGATATCTTAGGAGTTTTAGTTTAGTACAATGAGGTACATAGTCATACAAATGAATATGGACTACATCAGAACAACGATAATAAAAATTGATTTCGCGTAGTAATTTCGTTTACAAATACTGTCCGTATGAACAGGTAAGTGTTCATGTCTCTGAAGTTGTGTCTTGCGTTTGAATACTAAGAGAGTCATACGGTTCCTCGGTGTTGTTAATACACTTTGATAAACCATCAACGTTTTCCTCATTCACCTCACATTATACCTTTGCTAAAATAATTTCTGAATTTTTTTCAAGGAATATTAAAACATTGTCCTACATGTATTTTACCTTACAAATTTATTTTCATGTATACATATATATTCTGCATTCGAAAACCTCAGATCTTGTGACTTATGTTTATTTCATATTAACATGATCTTTTTCAGCAGCATAAGGCTATCTAATCAATCCCGTTAAATTAATTAGAAGGTATTTTTTATAATTGTCTGGCATCGTTCTAAGAACCGCTGAAAGCAAAAAGACAATGAATAGTGGTTTTCTAATTGTTTTAGACTCTTCACCGATGCACATAGATAATGACATACTAAATCGAAGTCAGTAAATTATATCCTCACTACCCTTCTAGAGTTTAGTGATCACAATTTCCTATTTGAATTGAAGCATCAATAATACACTCTTCATAAACCATTATCAGGTACTTGTTCCAGCAACTATATTGAAATGACATTTCAAGGTTACTTGAATGTTCTGTTTAAATGGATGGTGTTCTTCAAAAATTATTAGGTCATTTATAAATAAACATAATATGGATTGATATAATATGAAGTACCATTAGGAGTTGAAGATGGTTTCGTGACATCAGACACTTAATTAGTGTTCGCTACTGAATTATTTACAAAGGGACTGTTTTATGAAAATTAATGAACTCGGAACACACTTCGAAAAAGATTAACGATACGGATTATATAAAGGATAATATGTTATGCCACTGTACAGAGTGAACCATATGAAGAGGAATAACATATCCGATTTATCATTTCAGTTTTTACTTGATAATTCATGATGTGACAAACTTTATAAATATGCTGTTCAAAAACAGAATACACTAAAGAACTCTTCTTTATTAATAAACAACTTAATTCCCATTATATTAAAACACAATTGTATGGACGAAGAATATTCTTTTCAATAATTTCTCATCAGGTTCTACAATTATAAATCCAGGTTAATAATCCATAAAATTGGCCAGATTTATAATTGTAGAACCTGATGAGAAATTATTGAAAAGAATATTCTTCGTTCATACAATTGTGTTTTAATAAACAACTTTACACTATAATTCATTTCTGTATTGGTTTCGAATCTTATCATTGATGTTTGGAACTGCAATCGATCAGTGCCTTATTGACATGTGTGTATCCTGTGAGGATTGCCTCGATGTTGCCTTCACCCCCAAGCATTATAGGCAGAGATGGATGGTAGCTAGCAGTGGAATCCAGGACGTACGTTTCATTTCATTATGGACTCGTTACCTGGATATACCACTGCTAGCCACCATACATCTCAACTACATATTGTAAGTTCTACAAAGTAAAATTCACTTATTTTAAAAAGCTCAGTGAATAAGTGGTCATTAATCAAAACTAATACGTGATTTCTTAAATAAGATACAACTTACACGAGAAGATACGACTTTATCAAATATTTTCAAATATGTGAGCTTCGAAACGTCTCTTTTTGGGAAATTGAATCTGATGACTACTTAAATATTAGTTTGCGCTTGTATGTGTGTATGGAACCTGAAAAGCCTAATTATCACTCAGATAAATTTGTAAACATTCTTCATTTATTCATTGGATTTAAGTCATCTGATGGCTTTTGTTTTTAAATATTTTCTAAGTACCCTTTTAACCAATCAGATGGATTTATAGAAAATACAGGTGATTTAGGTAAAGTCATTCGATTGAAAAAAATGCTTTTTCATGTATTATTTTTATTCCTATATTCTGATGACTACAAATAATTTAAGTGTTACAACTGAAAATCTGTTACACACACTAATGTTCTGAACAGGTGAGATTTTCGTGCTTATCTGTACAGCTTTTCATTGTATCCTTTAGTGTCTTTAAGTTCTAATTATTACATACCAGAGGAAAACAGAAGTGTGGTCGATGTTGAGAACTCCGAACGGGCTATGTCCGCGTAACTGATCCCAAATTATGAAGAACAATTATCACACCAACCGAGTGAACATAATCTTTATTGACATGATAAATTTTCCAACCTAGTTGATTTTAATATACGACTGAGAAGGTATTGTTCAATGGTAATTCTTATGATTGGTTATTTCATTAATTACATTGAAAAACCAAGGTTTTATGAAGTATTGTAATGGTATAGTTAGATGATAAATTCAACCAGAAAATAAAAACTGTTTTAACTTACTGCTTCGAGAGAGTTTAGAAAAGCAATAACTGAGATCAATAATTATCAGCATTGAGCTTAACAAAATAATGTTGGCTGGAGATATTCTCAAAAAATCTTCAAGCTGGGATGAGTAATAACTACAGAAAATGTATTACATAAAATATGTGGAAATAAAGGAAGTATCAAGCGAAATCTCCCAAAAAAATCTTTTACAATTCATCAGTCGAAGCTTGACAACAGCTTTGAAGATAAATATGTTAAGAAAAATTATTTTGATTTCAAATCCGTCTCCAACTATCGCACAGGAAAAAAGATCTCATCTTAATTTTGATCAAACCAAACAAAAGCAAGTGGTTCATATACTACTACTTCGATTGAGTGTTATCTCAACAAATCCAGTTCAAAGAAACTAGCTGCTTTAGATACTAGTAGTGAATGTATGCCTTTCAAGGTTTCATAAAAATATATAGAAGATAATACATATATATACATACTAAGATAAATTTTTGCACCTGATCAACCTGAGTTTCATACTCGGGGCTTACTTAACCGTTCGGGCTACCCAATGTATATACTTATGCATGAGAATTACAGAAGTTCTCGAACTTATGTATTTCAAGTATATAGGTATATGCAAAAGGTATGCATGAGGTGTGGCATAAAAGAAAATGTTAAGGTGCAAAAACATATGCCCTATGTCTAATAAAATCAGCGGCCCATATATAAGGTCAAAGACAGTAAAAATAAGTAGTAGCAAATACGAGGAAGAGGCCATCATCAATCTCCCCTGAAAGAGTGCTTATGCATATATGTGTAACAGGAAATACGGAGGCGATAGCCATGAGCTGAATGATGTGTATGTAATGTGTAAGAGTGAGTCTAGTGCAGCAAACACGTTTTCTATGAGGGTGGTGGACATCCACCCTTCCAGGTGGATGAATATACTTATGTGTATGCTGTGGGATTCATGAAGTAAAAGCTGTTTGTTACTCGTGTGCATGTAACGTATATTTACTCACAGAGTATATACAACTGTATGTATGCCAAGTGATACCCGGATGAAAGTAGGTGTGTTAAATCGTATGCTTATAGAATATACCTAAACAGTTCAAGTAAAATTCAAGAACATTTTTACTTGTTCTTGCGTAAGAGAGCAATATGCATGCAAAGACTCGCCCAGGCTGCGGTCCCCACAAAATCGCGTAAATGCGGTGAGATTTTGAGCCTCGAAAAAACGGAACCCAGTAACAGAAGGCCATAACTCCGCCTGTAGCTCTTCGAAGGCTACTGTCGGTCCCAAGCCCACACAAAAGAGAAGGGTTGGGATAGGGATCAGCATCCCCATCCCTGTACAACACAACACTGCTAAGAAAATGCTCACCAAAATTAACAAATTACACCATTCAAACTCTGACATCCAAGTTTAAGGGTCTTCTTTCAGAACAATTATGACGCCTCATGATGAAAGCCAAGGTTCTGCCGAAGTCACGAGGCCGACACCACTTCTAACAATCAGAGCAACAATTAATATAAATTCATGGAATGTTCACACAATGTGAGAAACTGGAAAGATCAATCAAATAGCTGTGGAAATGAGATTATACAACTTGATAGTATTCGGAATCAGTGAAACCCATTGAACTCAAGCTGGACAGAAAATGATAGATTGAGGAGAGGTGCTTTTGTGCTCTGGTTATGAAGAAGGAAATGCTGAACACACACTGAGAGAGTTGCTCTGATTTTGAACACAGAAGCACAAAGAGCACTTGTAGAATGGAAGTCTCAAGACAAATAAGGGATGGATCACATTAAATGTTATCCAGTGCTATGCATCCACCAACCACAGCAATGAAGACGATAAAGATCAGTTTTATGAGAGGCTGCAGTTAGTCGATCGTGGAGAAGTGCACAATGTACGAACTGTAGGAACCATCCTAATGGCAGACTTGAAGGTCGAATTCGGAATGGACAACACCGGATATGAAGATGACATTGGACGACATGAGCTGACTGGGAGAAACGTACGAGTATGGAGAGAGATATATATGTAGAGAGTTGCAAATTCATGTGAATTCAATAAATTGGTTATTGATATTGCTTTATTCACCCACAGACGCATACACGAAAACCATATGGGACTCACCGGATCACATCACACTACAGAGAACCAGATGGATCTTATCTGTGTCACTAGAAAATTCAGAAGATTAATGGAAGACAAGAGAACCAGAAGATGAGCTGACATGGCTTATATCACCACCTGCTTGTGGTTGACAAGGTGAAACTGAAGTTAAAGAAGCACTGGACAACTGGCGAAACAGCATTACAAAGGTTCAATACAGCCTTCCTTCGACATGCTGACAAACTCAACCAATTCAAGATAACTCTGAACAACAGGTTCCAAGTCTTACGAGATCTGCTGGAGGTAGAAGAAGAAGAAGAAGAAGAAGAAGAAGAAGAAGAGGAAGAGACTACTATGGTGGAGAATTGAAAATAGATCGAAAGAGCACTAACTTCAACGTGTCAGGAGGTTCTGGGCTGAAGGAAACATCATCATAACCAATAGATCTCCATCGAAATGCTGAACAAGGTTCAAGAAAGGAAGAACATGAGGACATCAATCAACAACAGCCGAACAAGAACAGAGAGAGTGAAGGCTCAAAGTGAATACACTGAAGCCAATCACTGAGATTCAAGTACAGAGGAACGGGTGGGTAGAACACTTTGAAGAAATCATGAAAAGACCAGCTGTAATGAACAAATCAAGAGAGGGATAGCATCAGGACCAAACAACATACCATCTGAAGCACTGATGTTAGACAAAGAAGCAATTACGGATAACTGTTGAACGATCAACTGGATAGAGCTCATAATTATTCATCAACTTCCACGAATATACGAAAGCATTTGACAGCGCGGATAGGAGAATCCTATGAAAGCTTCTTCGTAACTATGGTGTACCTGAGACGATCGTCATCATTATACTAAATTCATAGGACGGACTGCACTGCAATGTCGTGCATGTAGGACAGCTGACGGTTGCGTTCGAAGTAAGGACCGGTGTTATACAAGGCTGCTTACTATCCCCCTTCTCATTTCTTCTGGTGGTTGACTAGATCATGAAGACCTCGACATCCGAGTGGAAGCACGAAATGCAATGGACAACTTGCATGCAGTTGGATTAGTCGGAATCCCAGATGACCTAGCCCTCCGATATCACACACAGATACGAATTCAGGTGAAGACAGTCAAGGTATCGTCAGGTTCTGCAGCAGTAGACCTCAAACCAGCACCAAAAAATCACACTTGACAGAGGAGCTCTGGAATGGGTGGAAAGATTTACGTACCTGAGGACGATCATTGATGAACAAGGGGGATCTGATGCAGATGTGAAGCCACAGATTGGCAAAGCAGGGACAGCATTCCTACAGTTGATTATCATATGGAACTCGGAGAAATTTCAAGCACAAGCTGAATATATAGAAGCAAACAAGCAAGTGAAGTAAAGCATTAGAGCCGACAAGAAGAAATACGTGGGAGAACTAGCAGTGATAGCGGAAAAAGCTGCAAGAGAAGGAAATATGGAAAAGCTTTATGATACAACGAAGATAATAGCAGTTAGATATAGTGAACCAGAGAGACCGGTCAAGGACAAAGAAGGGAAGACAATCACGCCGATTCAAGAACAGAGGAACAGATAGGTAGAACACTTTTAAGAACTCTTGAATAGACCAGCTCCGTTGAATCCACCGGACATCGAAGCAGCACACACAGATCTTCCCATATATGTCACTCCACCAACGATCGAAGAAATCAGGATGGCCATCAGACAAATGAAGAGTGGGAAAGCAGCAGGACCTGACGATATACCAGCTGAAGCAACGAAGTCAGACATTGAAGTGACTACAAACATGCATTGCCTTCTATTCAAGAAGATTTGAGAGGAGGAACAATTGCTGACTGAATGGAAAGAAAGACACCTCATCAAGATTCCAAAGTAAAGAGATCTGAGAAAATGTGAGAACTACAGAGGCATCACAATACTGTCAGTATCAGGAAAAGTCTTCAGCAGAGTGTTGCTGAACTGGATGAAAGACGCGGTAGACGCCCAACTTCGAGATCAGCAAGCTGGATTCCGTAAGGATCGGTCGTGCACAGACCAAATTGCGACACTATGGATCATCGTTGAGCAATCAACTGAATGGAACTGGTCACTATACATCAACTTCCTTGACTGTGAGAAGGAATTTGACAGTGTGGATAGGAGAACATTATGGAACCTTCCTCGACACCATGGAGTTGCTGAGAAGATTGTCAACATTATCCGGAACTCATACGACAGACTACAGTGCAAAGTCTTGCATGGAGTACAGCTGATAGATGCATTCCAAGTAAAGACCGGAGTCAGACAATGCTGTCTATTCTCCCCCTTCCTCTTTCTTCTAGTGGCTAACTGGATTATTGAGTCCTCTACATCTTATCGAAAGCACGCAATCCAGAGGATAGCTTGGATGCAACTAGAAGATTTAAACTTTGCAGATGACCTTGCCGTTCTATCCTATACGCACGAACAAATGCAGATGATGACAGCCAGTGTGGCAGAAGCCTCTGTCTGCAACAGTAGTCCCCAACATACAAAAGGGAAAAAGCATCATCCTCAAATACAAAATAGAGAACACCGACCCGGTCTCACTTGATGGAAAAACTCTGGAAGAGGTGAAAAAGTTTACGTACCTGATCGGCATCATTAATGAACAAGAAGGATCTAATGTAAACTTAAAGGCGAGGATCGACAGAGCGGGGACAACATCCCTACAGTTGATTATTATATGGAATTCAGGACAACTGTCAACCAATATCAAAATCACTATCTTCAATACGATTGTCATACTGTACGGAACTGGAAGTTGGAGAAGTAACACAGCCATAATCAAAAATGTAAAAGTATTTATGAACAATTATCTATGCAAAATACTCAATGTTCGTTGACCGGATACCATCAGAAACAACGTACTGTGGGAGAGAATAAACCAGTTTCCAGCCGCAAAGGAAACTAAGAAAAGAAGTTGT